CCTCTCTTCATTTCCTTCGGTGCTTTTCCAGCTGCAGTTAAGCTCGCCCTCTTCTTCCCTTCTCTTTTTCTTCCTCTCTTCCTTTCTTTTCTCTCTTGACAGCAGGGCTCTTCCTTAAAATGAAACGTTGTCGTCAGCCCTGGTGTGTAAAGCAGATAAAAGTGAAGCTATGCAGATTGACCCAGCGGCCGGCCCGACTCCCCCGCAGCCTGACTCCCTGGGTGGGTTCTAAGGCACATCCGAGATGTCTTGGGCTTCACGCAGCCGCTCTGGAAAGCTAAGCTCCTTACGTGGTGAGAAAACCAAGGCTTAATGGAGATAAGTGCTGCGCCCAAGGCCTGCAGCTCCTCTCTGCCAGCCGCATGCTTTCTGCAGGGCTCTCCTTGGCTCCTGGCTGCCCTTGGTCTTAGGCGCTTTGAGCGGGGTGCGATGGAATCAGCAAGGGCTTAGGACAGACGACCCAAGCTTGAGCCCCGACTCTGAAAAGCAATAGCAGGGAGACCTTGAATGACTTAGAACTTCTCTGACCTGCAGGTTCTCACCTATAAAATGTAGGTGGGTTTCGTTGACATGCTGTCTGTAAAGCAGTGGGGTGCTGTCGCCACCTGGGAGCTAGTAGGGACTCTGTAGGTGGCAAAGATTTTTTATTAAAGGAGCTATTGAAGAGGGACTCACAGTCAAATAGACTAAGGCTGATGGAGAAGGCAGTTGAGAGGAAGGCAGTGAGCATTGAGTGAGAGGAATTGCAGGTTAAGTCACTTCATATTGAGTTCTGGGTCCCGGAATTCGTTCTACTCTTTGTCCAGAGAGGAGGAGATCATAGCTCTGGCTGCCCTCACTGAATTTGGGGGCGCATTCGAGAGGTGGGGGCAGATGATAAGTCCTGAGTCCTAGCTCAGTGCTGACCAAGTCATTGGCGTTATCTTCCATTGCCTGGCGGGAGAGGCAGCGGGAGGCCAGGGTGGGGGCGTGGGGAGCGGAAGTGGGTGGCTGGGCTCTTGATTCTCACATACGGTTTTTTACTGTGGCTGATGCTGCAGCTACTTAACGTTCCTATTACCACACGCCTTGATTCTCTGATAAAGATGCTGAAGTTCTCTTCTTGGCCATGCTCAGTCATGTGGGCTGAAGATAAGGGGCACGGTGTGCTTCCCTTGCCCTGGAGATCCCCGAGGCCTCGAGGCCTGTAAGAGCATGGCCGTGTGATGTGTCACATGTCCTGGGGAAGGAGCCCTGGTCCTGGGTCTGCTGGATCCCCTTCCGGAGAAGCCCGGGTGTCACGTGACTCCAGACAACCACATTATCCAGATAATCTGTGACAATGGCCTCTTCTTTGAATTTTCTGATCTACTCTTGTTGAGGTGGTTATTTTATATTTTTGGAAGCGGCACAGCACAGTGGGAGAAACCGCATGGGAAGATGGGAATCAGGAAACCTGGGTTCTCTTTCTGGCTGTATCGGTACCTCATTATTTGGTCTCAGGCCTTGGCTTGCCCATCTCTAAATGAGAGAGTCTAATGGTAGAATCTGTAAGGCTGCATCCATCTCTACACATCCTGTATCTTTTCTCCCCCTTTCCTGCTTAAAGGTACTTAGATCCAGGTTAAAGCTCTAAAGAAGTTACTTGGTGAGACCTTGTTGATGGTGGTTTTATTGAGCTGTTTCTATGTGCTGTTCATTACGTAAAGAAATTTAAAATGTTATCGTGTTTAATCTTCATAAAAACCCTAGTAGGCATTATTGTTCCTCTTCTGTAGATAAGGAAACTGAGGCTCAGAGATGGTTAAACCGATTGCTTAAGGCTCAGTGACTAGCGTGTGATGGAGTGAGTTTGAGATCCCCTGCTCGTCATGGTGTTTTGCGCGATCGGTCTTGTGGACTGAGCCTTTAGTGTGAAAACTTGAGAGCTCCCTGTTCGGGCATCGCGTGTGCCCAGTCTTGCGTTAGAAGCTTTCCACATGGGATCTCATAAAAGCGATAAGGTGTCTGGCGCTGTTACCATTCACGGGTAACAAACTCAGAGCGGTAAGAGACTCGACTGACATCTCACAGCCCGTAATCCATACCAAATTCTGCAGCCAGGCCGTGAGGCGCCAAAGCCTTCCCCTTGCCCAGTTCACGCGTTCCCTCACTGGAGGTGGACCAGGCCCGCCCTGCGAGAGCCTGCCGAAAGCCAAGCGCTAGCCGTCCTGGACTTGGGGAATCCCTGTGCAAATTCCAGGGGGCTCAACAATTTACGTCACGCTGGAGAGCTGGGCGCCTGCCTCCCACGCTGCAGGACACAGTGGTCCCCAGCTTCCGGAAACCGCCCTTCATCCATCCTGCGATGGCATCCGCATCCCACTTCCTTAGCACACGTGCCTATTTGACGAAAGCGGAGCTGACGCACCCGTGTGTGTCTGTGTGTGCACGTGCGTGCACACCTACCTGAGGTATCTACCCTCAGCGTGAGTCTCTAGAAGAGCTCCTAAGAGAAGGCACTCTCCACCAAGGCTTCCTAGAGGAAGACTGGCTTCCTGTTCTCTAGTGGGGGTCGTGCAGTCCTCCTCAGGAGACGAGCTCTCTGGAGGCTGCCGAGAGGCCCGAGTATTGATCATAGTTGATAAAGGGAGCTTTTTTTTGGTCTCAAACTGTAGAAACTGCTGGGTGAGTGCAGGCTTACCGCCTCTGTGGAAAGCTAGTTACTTGCTCAGCTAAAATGGATTGAATTGCTGTTATGTCTCTAGTCCATGGTAAGTACCCATTATACACATGGAATAAATTCATTAATGACAAGTACGGATAGTTTTAATTGCAAATGACAAAAGCCAATTCTGGTTAAATGAGTGAAAATATATTAGAAACGAGGGTCGCTCTGGGAACCCAGCAGATGTCTCGGTTGGATGCTGCTGTCATGATTCACGTCCCAGTTCCAGTTCCTCAGGGGGCTTTGGGTCATGACCGAGAGTCTTCCCGTGGGGAAGGCAGGGGCCACCTCCACGAAGGAAGGCATTCTGGGGCGCTGTGGTAGCTGGGTAAGGCAGCCCTGGCCCTCCACGCGTTCATGCTCAGCGGGAAGCCTGGATGGAGGAGTGATCAGTAGTAGGCTGTGATGGCGGCTGTGAAAGTTTGCACAAAAGGCATTGGGAACGTAGGGAGGTTTTAAATTTCGCATGCGGAGAACATGTCCGGAGAGGTCAACAGGGAAGTTTGTTCGCACTTGAGTTTTAAAGGCTAAGTAGAATTTTGCCAGCTGGACGAATGCATTTCGGGGGATCTTCGTGCGACAGTTCAGTGATGTGGAAGCACAGTGTGTCCAGGAAGAGCCAGAAGTTCCGGCGCCCGGTCTGGAGAGCGCATCTCAGAGGGGGAAGTGTGGGTGGGGCCCGATCTCGAAGGGCCCTGGATGCTCCTTCAGGCATTGAGACTTTCAGTCCCAGGAGGGGAGCTGTCACTGTATGACTGTAAGCGGCAGAAGGACATGGTCAGTTCTGAGTTTTAGGAAGATGACTGCGGGAGGCTGTAGCAGTGCTCTCAGATTCGACTCTTCTTCCCACGTGGCTGTTCAACGTGGGCGGCTGATGGTTCCAGACAAGCCAGAGAGTGAGCCAGTCAAAAAGAGAGCCCCCAGATGGCTGGAGAGTCCCACATTTCCGTGGGAATCCCCAGTAACTCCATCTTTCTGTTCCAGACCAGGAGGATGGTGGCAGGTGGAGAAGAGAGGCCCCTGGTGGCTTGCATTGCCCATAGAGTTCTGAGTGTTTAAGAGTGAAACGTCTTGGCGTAGAAGGCCATAGGCCACTGGAGTTTGTGAAGAAGCAGGTCGTGGCAGGGGCGGGGAGGGGGTTGCCCCGCCTACCTCCACTCCGGACAACCTGTCCTCCCTCCGTGCTTCAGAATGGGCAGTGCGCAGTGTGCGGTGGTCTGGGAAGAACGTACAGATGGCTCAGGTCTTTGATGTCGGGTGGGAAGAGAAGCCCTTCCTCTAGACAGCCATTTGGTGATTTTGCAGAGGAAGTCGAAGGAGGTTAAGAAAGCCGAGGTCTCCAGGGGTGGCTTCCTTTTCCTTATAAACGTGGACCTTGACAGGGGACAACACGCAGTGCCGATTCCTTTGTAATAGGTGGTTTCTGAAAACAGGAAAGTCTTCCCTCCTACTGCGAGGATTTGAAGCTAGTGTTCTAGAGGAATCGTGGCTAGAAACTATTCGAATATAGATCATGCATTCGCACAGCGTGGAGAAGGGGTTGGGACATGGGCTCTAAAAGATGAGCTAGAATCTCCCCATCTCCACATTTTAGCTAAGTGACATTGCCCGAGTTCCTTAACCTCTCTGTTTTCAGTTCTCTGATTGGAAACAGTTATAGCAATGTCACCACCACCACCAAAACCTAACAATTTATTGAGTACTTACAGTAGGCCAGACACTGTGCAAAAATAATAATAATAATAATAACTATCTCACTGATTTCTTAAAGAACGCTGTGAAGTAGGTAGTGTTGTTATCAACATTTCACGGATAAGAAAATGGAGGTACTGTGGGGATAGTAGCTCGCCTGTCCCCCCCGCAAATAACCAGTAAATGGGGGAACTAGGGTTGCAGTTCAGACAGCGTGACATCAGAGTTTGACACGTCCCAGAGCTGTTCTGAGTTTTCAAGGAGACTGTGGATGTAAAATGCTGACCGTAGATCGAGCTCCTGGGCCCTAGCGAGCATTCCATACTTGGAGCTAATTCTTGTGTTGTGAGTCTCACCTGCCCGTTTTTGTCTCTCACAGAAGCAGCTGACACAGGATGATGACACTGACGAGGTCGAGATCGCCATCGACAACACAGCTTTCATGGACGAGTTCTTCTCTGAGGTGGGCAGCCTGCCGGTGCTTTCATCTGAATGTACATGAGGAAACACAGCTTCCTTATAAAGAATGAAGCCTTAAAGATCTTCCCAGAGTAGCAGAGGAAAGTCAGTCTTTCGCAGGGACGGGGAGGCCAGACCAAGAAGTTACAGGGAGAGTCTTTCTAATACTTACTTGGGAGGGTGTAGGTTTTTAATCTTATGGAGAAAGTCAGCGGAAAGTAAATTGTCTGTAATTAAAGTCTTATGCTATGTGACAACATTTTAATGATATCCCTTCTTGCCCAAATGACATCATTTGAATACAGAATCAACCCACAGGGTCCCAGCCACACGGCATAAAACACATCGCATCTTTAGGCCTGTGATTCACAGAGACCACATTTATTTCCCAAAATTCAGTCCCTTTGGCTTAATTCCAGGGATAACAGAGAAACCAAGAAACCACCAATTAATATTTTTGAAGTCAAACGGGGCAAAGGTGGGTTGCCTACGTCTGCACACTCGCATGCCCTGTGATTTTGAAGGTCCTTGATGGCAAGGTGCTGCGGCAGGCAGTGGGTGCTGGAAAGCTCGTTGGGGGCGGGGGTGCTGGTGGTGGCGTTGACGTGTCACGGACGGGCTTTGGAGCCACAGGAACATGGCTGCAAATCTCAGCCCTGCTTCCGACCAGCTGTTGACCCTGCGAATGTTCCTTAGCACACTGGGTTTCCTTATCTGTAAGTCCGGATTGCTAATGTAATTCCCTAGAGGGTTATTATGACGATTGAATGGGATAATGTTTCTAAAACTTTCAGCGTAGCATCTGAGCCGTATGCGCCCAATAAATGACACTTCAAAAAAAACAAAGGCACGGGAAGTTCAGTCACTGACGCTCCTGCCACCGTACTGAGGTTTCTTTATATTTTTCCGGAAGGAAGACAGGCGTCGTATTCTTTCTGCAGGGAGGACGTGGGCGTCTCCCGTCCTGTAGCTTCGGGACGTGGAAGAGTCGTCCTGCTGTTCTCAGCTCTCGTCCAAACGGAGTGGAGCGAGGTGCGAGCCGTGACGGCTCAGGCCCGTTCATCTGTCAGAGTCACAAGCGGGTTTAAGAATGAACTTGAGCGAACTGGAGCGTGTACTGGCCTGATCGGGAAGCTGGCTGCGAACGCCCCGTAGATCCCCACCTTCCTTCCCCGGGGGCGGGTCTGGCCTTTCGGTTGAGGAGTCATAGGGAGATCAGGCGGCCTTTGAGTTTGGTCAGTCTCCTGCCGTTCCAGGTGTGGATCATGGAAGGAAGATGTCTTTCTGCTCAATGGCGGGAGGGGGACTTAAGATGTTTACATCATTGTAGGTTGTCCCTCTGAGCTTGGAGGACCAGATTCGTTAAAGAATTTAACCAAAAGAATAAGGAATAAGGGATCGGGAACCTTCTCCCAGGACAGCGTCTGCCTCTTCTCTCAAATCAGAGGGGCCCCGAGAGGCAGTGTTCCTTGTGAGGTGCGAAGGTGGCCTCCAAGACTTCAGCCTCCAAGACATGGTCTGAGTCCGTCCTCAGGCATTCACTAGGAAGTGACCTTGGTTAAGTCACTTGACCAAGAGTTTGGCCTTAGAAATTAATTCCTTACCTGCCACCAACTGTGATCTCACAGATTTGCTGGGGATTAAAGGAGCTAACAGTCAGAAAGTGCTTAGCGCGGGCGTAGGGCAAGGTTACTTTCCGCTTTTCTCATCTGATAGAACACGGAGAGGGTACGTATCAGAGTGGGGCAGAGGCAGGAGGGAGCGGATGATGGAAAGATCATACAGTCTCTGGCGCCCCACAGATCCTGGTCTAAATCTCGGCTCCACACATTGCTGGTGGTGTAACTTTGGAAAAGTTGTCAAACTGCTCTAAACCCCAGTTGCCTCTGAAATGGTGATATTGCCTGCTGGCTATCGTGAATATAAAATGAGAAAGCGTGTGTCGGACTTAGCGCAGTGCCTGACGCACACTAAGTGTGTCTGCAGTAAAGTTTACTCCTCGTTCCACTGTGTCCCCGGTGTATTTGCGAGAAAGCGGGCCACAGAGTTGATTTTTTTGAATGCCGTCTGGAAATATCTTTGACGGTGGGATACAGTACGTTCTAGGTAGTGGGGATTTGGGGAAATGAGGGGATTTCCCTGTGTGTGTGACTGGGGAACACACCTGGGGCATTCTGTGGGATACAGTAAGTAGGTTTCTTGGGAAGGCGCTCTTGCGATCAGGCCTGCTTTTTGGACTCAGTCCAGCAAGTCGGTCACCCCCGGTTATTTGCTGAGGACCGAAAGTGCAGCTCGGTCGGAGAGGCCTGTGCGAGGTGCGGAGGAAGTCACAGGACCAAGACGTTTTCAGAATGTGCTTTGCACTGTAAAACTCAAATGGTTCCTCCAGCTTCTCACTTGTTGGAGAAGAGAATTGGCCTTCGGGTTTTCGGGCCTCCTCGGCTGATTAAGCCGGGGTCTAGTAAATGATAAACCCCAGACTTTTGTCTAATTCGCTGTCGTCCGTATTTTCCTCGGTCTGTTTGCTCAGTTGGCAGAGAGAGCGAAGTTTTAGAGGAAACAGGACCGACCTGAGAAGGCAGAAACACGAGGGATTTATTGTCCCCTAGTCATTCATTCATCCATTCATCCATCAGGACACGTGAGTGCTCACTGTCTTCCAGGCAGCCTGTTAGGTCCTGGAGATGCAGTGTTCTGGGTGGCAGAGTCCTTGTCCCGTGGTATCCTTTATCTGGGTGAGGGCGATAGGAAAATTTTAAAGTCCTGTGATAATAGAAAGGTCAGCGAGGTAGTCCCGTGGGAGCACGGAAGAGGAAGCTTTCCATTCCGCCTGGAGGGAGGGAGATGGGGGTGAGAGAAGTCGCCTCGGGGCTTCGCGTGCACACCCACGCCCGATTCAGGGGGCCTGGAATGGCTCGGACTTTTGGATTTTTAGGAAGTTCTTCCAGATGATCCTATTGCCTGCTGTCGCTATGAACCCCACTGCAGAGCGATGGGGAGCCTTTGCAGGTTTTAAGCGAGAACGTGATGGGATCAGAGTGCGTTTTAGAAAGAGCATTCTGGTGGCAGTGTGTGGAAAGTGGGAGAGGCCAGAGCGGGAAAGATCAGTGAGTCGCTGGTGCGGCAGCCTCTGGGAGGAAGGGTCAGAGCTTTGCCCTGAATCTGGGTCTCTAAGCGGCAGCATAAGGCACATCACTTAGGGCTGCTTTCGAGGAACTGTGGCTGGAGCAATAAAGATATGTAATTATTTCACATATGAAGAAGTCTGGAATTAGGAGTGGTACAGTGGGCTAGAGGTATTGGGGTTCAAGTCAGTATCTTGCTAACCCTCTTGGCTTTTCCCTTAGGGTGGAGAGTCTGTTCTGATTATCTGTTGCTGTGTAAAAATCGCCATGACAGTTAGTGGTGTGACCGACCCTTTGGTGATACTGACAGATTCTGCAGAGTAGAAATTCAGACAGGGCTTAGCGGAGGTGGATGATGTTTTTGCTCTACAATTTCTGGGCCTTGTTCGGGAAGGCTTGAACTGCCAGAGGCTGCAGTCTTCGAGACTTCTTTATTGTAACACTGCAGCTTGGACTGGAGTGACTCAGGAAAGCTCAGCAGAGACTGCCAGTTGCAGCACCTACATTCGACCTCTTTCTGTGGCTTGGGCTTCTCAGCACGACCGAGTCAGGGGCATCGGTTCGGTACATGGAGACTCAGGGCTCCAAGGCACCTGTTGCAGCCATGGAAGTCATAGATAGCGCACATCACTGCGGCCATACACTGTTGTCGAAGCAGTCACGAGCCCGCCAGAGTCAGGAGAGCAATATCCGTAGACACCAGCTATAAATGGGAGGCGCATGAAAGAATTTGTGCTGCATTTTAAAACCACCAGAGTCACAGCTCCATAGGGCATCATCCTACACCAGCATCTTAAGCAGTGAGGAAGGAGGCAGCTAGGAAGGTTCAAAAATCCTTTTAACAGGGAGGATGACTCCCCAAATCCTCCAACCTGACTTCGCCCTGTGGCCCATCGGCCAGCGATGAACCACATGGTCATGGCCACTCTGAGCTGGAAAAGGGAGACCAGGAAAGCGTGGACTTCACGAAGGGCCGGCTTGTCAGGATGGTCAATAGCGCCGATCATGACTCCTCCTCCGGGGCTGGCAGCATCACTACCCAAACAAAATCAGAGTTCTGTTAACAAGAACGGGCGGGGACAGGCAGGGGTGGCCGTTTGGTGGCTCACAGCGCTTGTCGTGGATGACGGTATGAGATGCAGAAAGACTTCTGGGGTCAAATATGTCTGAGACATGCTTCTTGCTCTTCTCATAGAGATTTATAATACACATTAACTTGTTAAAGGCCCCCAAGAAGCCCTGTAATAAAGAAACCGGCTTAACATGCCTGTTTATTTTTTCACAGAACCCTTTCTGACATGTAACTTCGCTTAACAAGGATGAATGACTGTATTTCGGAAAATGCCGTTATAAAGGTTTTCTTTTTTGGGAGTGCTTAAATAAGTCTATGAGTCAGTTCTGCAGTGGCATATGGAGCATGTTTGTTTCCTGAGGTTACTAATATCTGTTTATTTATTCATCGAACAAACTTCTGTTGAGTGACACCATGTGCTTGGCACAGTGATGGATATCAAGTTGTTCATGAGAAACAGGACAGCCCCAGCCCTTGAGATCTGAGTCAGGACTGGGAGAAGTGCATGGACAGAGTGTGGGCGCCGTGCTGTGGAGCTTTGGAGCGTGGCCCGGTGCCTGGTTGGAGGGACTGAGAGGTGAGCAGTCTTGAAAGCACAGTGGTTTGCTAGGCAGGCTTGATTTTTGTTGAAACTCAGAACCTCAAAGTGACTGTAACTCGGAACTCTAGGCATGAAGTCAAATCTAGCAGGTTAAATACTCTTCGATTCTTTCTGTACGTAGACCGTTTGGATGACTAGGTGAGCCGGTAGGTGCTGCATTTCTGGGCTCTTCCATAGGCAGGCAGGAAGCCGCTGCCAGTCGTTGGCCTATTTGCTGTCAGGTCCGTTCCCCACCCTCCCTGCTCTCTTCTCTGCAGGGAACTCATTTGCCAGGTTCCCTTGCCAACTGGCTTTTGGTGCCTTTGACCTAGGGGAGGCACTGGTGGAAGACTCAGGGAGGAGGCAAGAGGCCACGGTTTTCCTCCCCAGACAGATCTCTGCCCTGGCCTCGGCGTTCACTCGTCAGACCCTGCCACCGTGGTCTGGCTCCCATCAGCGGGGCTCTGGTGACCCTGCCCTCCCTCTTTGTTCCTCCAACTTCCTGTTGCTAATTTCCATCCTCCGTTTGGCTTCTTGGCCCTCGTCCATGGCTGTGTAAAGCATTTTCTGTATTCTATTCCTTAAATTAACTAATTAAAATACTTTAATCTTCCTGACTAAATTTTGAGTGGTGCAAAGCTCAAATATCCTGAATTGATCTGAGATTATTGTCTAGGAATACTCATTTTCACTGGTCAGAATAACTCCGAGATCATTCATTTCTTTTTGTTCATTAGAGGAGAGTCGAAACACGAGTCCCGGTCTCGATAAAATCCCTGAGGGAACTTAACTTCTGTTGCTTGGCTGACCGGGACCTCTCGGTCCCTTCTTGTCAATGTTTGTTTTCCAAAGCAAAGAAGCAAACAAATCAAAGAGGACTTGACTGAGAACTTCTAATGTGAGGACTATTTTGGATTATGCTATTTGGGGGGAAAACTAAGGATGTATGACTTGTGAAAAGGAGGAGTCATTTATTTGACCCTTACACCCCCGTTTCTTTTGTCTCCTTAAAGGGGTGGCACATAATAAGTTTTCAGCAAAGAAATATGCAGGAACTAAAGCCTAACTGGAGGCACAAGGTACATAGATAACTTAGGGGAGACAGAAGCATTTTAGGTGGAACGGACAAAACCTTCTACCTTACCCGGCAACTTCTGCTAGTTCTTCAAAGTAGTACTTTCTCTGCTTTCCATTGTCCGATTAAATTCCACTGGCTAATTGGATTCAGAGGGAAGAGGCCTTCCATACCTTGAAAATAATCCCTGCCTTTTAGTAAAATGATGGTGATTAGTGTACCGTGGTGATTACAATTGGTTCCATGGCGCAGACAACCAACAGGAGGAGTGGTTGTTTGTGGTCCTGCCTCGATTTCCCTGGGTGGCTCCTGACAACATCCCAGAGCGTTTGTTAACATGAGGATTGCCGTGAGGATTAAGTGAGATGTGTGTGTGTAAAGGCACATGATAATCTGGCATATAATAAGTGTGCAGTGATTGCCGGTTAAGTTTGTATTTATCATTATCATTTAATGTTTAGTGAGCATGTGCTTTGTGTTAAGCGTTTGACATGCGTTACCTCATTTAATCCCCACAAAAACTCTACGGAGCGGGAACTATAATAATCCTCATTTCACAGATGAGAGAGCTGGGGCTGGGGGCATCAGCATGTGGCTTGTTCAAGGTCATAAAACTGTTAAGAGATGGGAGCTGAAACGTGAACCTGGTCTCTTCGATTCTAACTTATTTTCCTAAACTGTACTATCTGGATTGCCACATTGTTGAGCAATCATTGAAAAACATACTTTACAAAGTAACAGATAATAAGCAGGTATAGGGGATGTATTAGCTACAGATTTAACATGCTGATTAAAAAACCCTTTTAGATCAGTGCCCTCAATCAGCAGCGTTTCTTGAGCACTCCTTGTGTAAAAAACCTCTCCACAGGGAGCCTGGGTTAGAGAACAAAGAAATACAGCACGTGATCTCAGCGAAAGGTCACGGAGCCACTCTCCCAGAACAGCGAGTCGAACAGGCACATCCCAGGCCGAATCCACGTAGGCCTGGGAGACAAGGTAGTGGAGCCTCCCCGAGGTGGTTCTTGCACCTTTCCCTGGTTTGGGAGACAGAGTTTGGTGTCTCACAGATGCCGGGTTCGAACTTTCAATTCATCCTTGGGCAGCATGGCCTCGAGTGAGTGTTCTACCTCTCCGAGCTCGGTGTTCTCATGCACCAAGGGGAGGCAGTGATGGTGACTTCACAGGCATCTCGCGAAGGGCCTGCTTCTGAGGCAGGTAGATGGTCAATTAATTTTAGCTCTTAAATATATTATCGTGCAGGGTGATGTCAGCATACTTAAAATAAACCCCAGTAAGCTCATGGACAAATAGCCTTGAACTTTTCGACTCAGCGCTGTCAATTTCCTCCTAGTTTCCTGGTTCCTGTGCAGCCTTCCCCCTGCCCCGCGGTGGTCCTTTGGTTATCTGGCAGATGCACAAAAGGAAATTAATAGCCTGTAGCTGCCGCCATGAAATACTCAGAAAGTCACTTCTGAGGAAAACCAGCACTTCTAAGAAAAAAAACAAAGACACAAAGTTCAAAAAAGGAAAGCCGTGTGATTGGCTAGTTGCCCATCCTAAAGTCTTGAAGGGTGACCGTTTGGTGAACTGACTAAATGACTAAATCAGTTTCTGAAATGCCTCCAAAAGGTGAGGTTGATGAGGAAGAACAGTGGCAGCGGGTGGAGATGGGAGTAGAGGCACATGCTCCCAGGTCAGAGCACCCGGGGCTCGGTTCTGTTCACAGGGTCAGATCAGCCATCTACCATCCAGTCTCCAAATGCCTGGAGCGACTTCGAGCTTGAGGCCCAGCCATCTCTTCCTAGTGGCGCACGCGCTCGCGCTCTCTCTCTCTCTCTCTCTCTCTCTCTCTCTCTCTCTCTCTCTCTCTCTCTCTTTCCCCCTACCATTGAGCAAACTTTAGGTCAGAACGATTTTCACTTTATGAGATATTACTCCTGCGTATATTTTCGAAGATATCCAATCCATTGAACGTGCCACATCTGAGGCCTGTGGCTTATTAAAATATGTTAAGCTCATGTTAAAATGGTTCATGGAGTTTACTCTGGACAGCCCTTTTTTTCCTCAGTCCTGTGTTATATAGTGTAATTGCTTCGGCAAGACAGTCATGTGATGGAAACGGAAACATGGTGTGATGCAGTGACATCTTATGGGTTGTTAAAAGGAGCCAGTATCTGGTGTTAGAGATAAGGGGAAGATGGCAATTTATGGGTCACGCACGGGCTTGATTCTGAGGCGGTCACACCCCTGGAGGCTGCCAGCATTCACAGGCAGTAACGTAGGCCTTGGGGTAGTTGCAGAGACCTGGGAAAGCCAAGAAAAAATCAAGCCTTAGATCTAATGGAAAAGGCACC